CCTGCCCAGTGGGGAGTCTTCTTCTCCCTCTCCCTTTGCCCCTCCTCCCCTGCCTGTGCATGCTCCCTCTCTTATTCTCTCAAATACATAAATAAAGAAGAAAAAGAAAGAAGAAGAAAAAGAAGAAAAAGAAAAATGATCTCACTTATGTGGAACCTAAAAAAAATTTAAAGATACAGAGAACAGATTGGTGCTTGCCATTTGCAGTGGATGAGAGTGGGCAAAATGGGTGAAGGTGAGCAAAAGGTACAAACTTCTGGTTATAAAATGAATAAGTAATATACAGAATAGTTACTATAGTTAATAATACTGAATTGCATATTTGAAGGTTGCTAAAAGAGTAGATCTGAAGAGTTCTCATTACAAGAAAAAAATTTTGTAACAATATATGGTGATGGGTATTAACTAGACTTATTGTGGTGATCATTTCCCAATATATACAAATATCAAATAATTACATTGTATATCCGAAATGAATAAAATGTTATGGGTCAATTATATTTCAATTTTTCAAATAAACTTAAAATTAGAAATAAATGTTTATTATATTAATTAATGGATGTTCCATATAAAAATTAAGATCTTCCTAACTAAACGTGGAGACTATAAAATCCATAAAAGAAAAATAGACATATTTTAATATAGAAATATAAAAAACACTTTTACATGGCAAAATATACTATAAACAAATCAATATAAATTGTATAGGAGGAAAAAAAATTTGTGAAGTAGTTAAAAGATAAAAGTTAATATCTATACTTTACAAAGAACTTTCTAAACTGAAAAAAAAACTTTTCAAATAAAAGTGGGCAAGGAATTTAATTGACAAATCAAAGAAAACTAAATACAAATGAAAATATGCTCAAATTCACTGGTGGTATGTGGAAAATTAAAGTTACAATGATATATAAAACCACTATTGATTTTAGAGATAAGAAAGGGTGCTCATTACTTGTTGGTGGAAATTAAAAGTACGACAAAATTCTTGGAATGTACTCTAGCAACACATTTTTTTAAAAGATTTTATTTATTTATTTATTTATTTGACAGAGAGAGACACAGCGAGAGAGGGAACACAAGCAGGGGGAGCAGGAGAGGGAGAAGCAGGCTTCCCGCGGAGCAGGGAGCCTGACTTGGGGCTCAACCCCAGGACCCTAGGATTACAACCTGAGCGGAAGGCAGACGCTTAACGACTGAGCCACCCAGGGGCCCCCAGCAACACATTTTTAAAAAAGATTTTATTTATTTATTTGACAGAGAGAGACACAGTGAGAGAGGGAACACAAGCAGGGGGAGTGGGAGAGGGAGAAGTAGGGTTCCCAACCAAGCAGGGAGTCCAATGCCGGGCTCCGGGGGCTCGATCCCAGGATCCTGGGATCATGACCCGAGCTGAAGGCAGACGCCTAACGACTGAGCTACCCAGGTGCCCCTCTAGCAACACATTTTAAAATTAAAATTATTAATACCCTTTGATGTGTCTGTTCCATGTCTGAAAGTGAATTTCACAGAAATAAAAGCACCAATATTTTAGAAATATGTAAATGATAGTTCAGCATGGTTTATGAGGGCAAAAGAACACTTGAAAAAAGTGCTCATCAACAAATGAATAACTGAATATATCAGTGATTCATCCTGCATTATGAGGTACTAGACAGCTATTAAAAGTATCAGATTTGTGGGGATTTCCAAAGACATTGGTGATTGAGAACTGTAAAATGCATTACCTATCCTAATAAACTTTCTAAAATAAACAGTAACAAAAAAATCCACCAGATACATGCACGTGTGGAGCAATTAAGTGACTGCAAATAAATATGTGAAAAGAAAATCACAAGCCTCCTTTGTATTGGATACCTGACAGGAATGGTGATGTGCCCAGAAGAAAATGAGGAGGGACCAAACCAAAAAAGTTGTGTTTTTTTTTAAGAAACAAAAATGAACTGGGGCACCTGGGTGGCTCAGTCGGCTGGGTGTCTGCCTTTGGCTCAGGTCATGATCCCGGGGCCCTGGGATCAAGCCCTCCCTCCATTAGGCTTCTTGCTCACCGGGGAGAGGGGAGGTGTTGCTTCTCTGTCTCCCTCTGTGCTCTCTTTCTCCTCTCTCAAGTAAATAAATAAAATATTTTTTAAAAAGAAAAAAATGAACTTTTTTTTTTTT